ATGGAGTCCACAGACAGATTTCGTATGTAAATACGTATTCTTGGCCACCTCGGCGAGCGTTGTCGCGACTACCATGACTGAAAGATTATTCGAAATTCGAACGTATTTTCAAAGCGTCGCAGCTAATTTTAGTTCCGTCGCGACGTTAGCGTGTACGAACGTATTCGTATTAAAATTAAGAGAGGAAAAATCACCAGAGATATACATCGCTGTATATGATATTTTGGACGGCGTGGTATAGAATCCAAAATCCGTGGACTCTAAAATGGTTTTTACTTTGTCTGTAAATTTAACAAATCATTTTTTTTTAATTATACGCACGTGCAAATATATGAAAAATTTTATTTGATTGGTAACAAGAGAGTTTCTATCGTGCTTGAAGACGCGATAAAAAAAATGCGTATGGAATCGTTAGAATCGGTCGGGAAAAAAATAGAAAAAGCGAGAGCCGAGAAAATTGGGCGTTTAATCGGCCAAAATCGATTTCTTACTGGCGCGTCCTGTACAAATGTTTTCGCACTCTCTCTCGTGGACCTTCGATCGTAGGACAAGGTGCAACCGGGTCGCTCGGCCCCCTCAGGGTTGGACTCCGAAAGGAGCCTAAATTATGCAAGCAAACGTTCAGGTAGCTGAAGTGTCACTAGTTAGGACTAGGCTGTTGCCGCTTGTTTCCTGCGTTTTCCCTGCACACCTATTCCTTTATCTCTCTTCCTCCCTGAGTTTTCGTCATCCCTTGTCTCTCTCTTTCCCCTTCCCCTTTCCAAGCATATCTCGTGTGCCATGTGCGACGGTACTGTATGGAAACCAGCTAGCTACCTGTCGGATCCTAAGCAAATATTTCACAGCAGCATTCAATCCAATTTGGCACAATGGGGGGGTACACGAAATCGAATTAAGGGTGCGTTATGATGGTGCGCGATCGATCGAGACGATCCACCGTATGGAAATTTCGCAAGGGCAACAACTGTCTGTAACGTGAAGATAACGATCGAGAAGAGATAGGAACCTCGCGATATATAGAAGAGATTCCATAGAAATCAAATAAGATAAATCAATTAAAGATGAAATCTTCTCTCTCTTTGATATGGAATTCCACTTAAAAGGATCACCTCTTGTGACTTTTCAACCGATGTATATTGAATTAATTAGTCTACACGTAATATTCCGGAACTTTTAAGTGCTTTCTTTTCATGTTAAAATGCGTTGAAGATAAAAAGAATTAAACTTTCAAATGTGCCCTTGTTTGACCCATCTTCCTGACGGAAGTAAAAGAATCTTCGATAACTTCGCTTTCGTGCGAGTTAACGACTCGGGGCTCGTGCTCTTTCCTGCCCGCCCTTCTAACCTTCTCTTTCACCACTCTCGGCTAATATTATGCGCTCGGCCGACAACGTGAGACGACGCGTGTGTGTGCGCGTCGCGTCGAAACCAAGTACGTTATATGCGGCATATCACCTCGGTCGAACGATCGCTCGACGAGATCCGTCTTCGGCATTTTAAGCAGCGCCATTCATAATCTGTCAGTCTGACGATACATATGTAAAGACGATTCTATTATTGCTTCCCCTCGTCCTCCCGTACCGTCGCCTGCTTGCGGTATCCTACGACAAGCGGTGGCACTTATGGCAACGAGCCACCGTGGCGCGCGTAACGAACACGAATTTATGCGCCTCGCGCCGAGCCTTCTATCGACCGCTCGTAGATCACCGCGGTGTCGGCGTAGCCGCGAAAAGTCGGCGGACAGCGGAAGGCAAAAAGCGCGAAAAGGGGCAGAAAAGACGAATGGCCGGTCTTTCGTTATGTCTCGCCGACCAGCGGAATGCACGTCAATGATATACGTAAGAACCTTGTACATAAATAGGTAGCATATAGAATTTGCGGTAGAGAGAGAAAAGGGGAAGGAGTGTAATATTTCACAGTGCGTGCAAAAAATGACCTTCTATTCGTCTAGTAGGTTACATCTTCAATGATTAATTTAGATAATTTCAATAATTTGTTTAATATTGAACTATCTTTATTTAATTTTTTTTTTAACAATTTGATTAAAAAAAGTATAAAGAGAGATTTCGAACATGTTGCCTGTATTAAAGAATCCTGAAAAAGATAAAGCTTTGTATTTTGCTTGTACTTCGCTGTTTGCGGCATCAGAAAACGGAGAAAGGGGACGCGAGGCAAGTGAAATTCCGGAGGCCGTTCGCGGGCAACGTACACCCGCGTACACGCGGAATGCATAATTTTCTTTCTCAGTGACAGAGCTTTGCGGTTTCGCTCGAGCGTGCCGTAATAAAAAGAACGCAATGCGAGCCTCGTGAAGAGCCTCGTCGATTCCACGGAAAGCTAATCGTCGTCGTCGACAGGCAACGGTGACGTCAAATCGCATCGCAATATTTTCTGCATAACGGGCATTTAACCGACACAATTTCTTCAGTGCCAGTATAACAGAGGACCTCAAGTTTTATCGTGCCGACCTGGAAACATCACGGCCAACTGTTGCACTTTACAGAAAATTATTTGGAGAATGCCTCGTAGGAATTCTCTCCAGAGTGGCGAGACCTCTAGTGCGACTGCTCGGGAAGTCGTGGAATGTTTTAATACAGCTTTTGAAGCGGCTATACAGGTATCGGTTTTCTTTACGACCGATTTGTGCGAAGAACTGGCGCGTGAACATGTTGACTCGCTGACTTTTTGTGATAATATTGCCGCAAAGTAAAATGTAATTACTCTTACATACACTTACTTACTCTCTCTCTTCTCCCTCTCTCTCTAGTTGTTATACAAAACCATGTATATGCATGGCAAAGTTATAAATAAAAAAATAAGTATTTTAATGGCTTTGTAAAGATAAGCTTTTGATATATCTACGGCGGTAAGTGTGTTTCAGTTTTACTTTACAATACTGCTCGAATCGCTCGACGCGAAAAAGAAAGATGCACACGCGCGAAGGCACCGTCTTTTTTCCTATTATTTTTTATCGCAACACTCGAAGCGCAGAAGAGCTCGCGTACGTCTCGTACGAGCGATAATTAGCCGCGCTTCCTCGCACGCGCGAGCAATAATGAAAAAAAAAAAAAAGAGGAAAAGGAAGTTAGCGGGTACAACAATAACGCGAGCGAGCGCGGCCACAGGTGCGAAGGCGCGCAAAGCCAGTCGGGTAGTTGAAACAGACTATACGACACAGGAGGATCCCGCGGCACACGATGATCTAACTCACCCCTCCTGAGGGGTAGCTGGCACGTACTGCATAATGCTGCTACCTGTGGCTCTCATTTAAATGTACTAAACCTCGCTCACTCGCGTTCGTTCGCTTCCCCGACCCCGCTTCTCCCTTTCTCCTTCCTTCGCTCTCTTCTCAATGCACTTTACTCACTTTCGTTCGCTCACTCGCTTTTTGCGTGTGACTTGTTCTCCTTGATACCTACCTATCACCCCCTCGTCGCGGAAGGTACGAAAAGCACCCTTTTCCATAATTAATCATTTCGAATGAGTACCTGTTGCTATTAACGTAATCGGCTATCAATTGATTTTCAAGTAGACTTCTGTCTGTAAGAGTATACCGCTCGCTAATTTGTATCTCACATTCATCAAAAATGATAGAATATACATTGAAAATATTCAAATTTAAATAGTGTTTGCAGTGTTACAATTTCGTTTCTGGGCTGAAAGAAGAATTCTCAGCGTATGCGTAATTTTTTCGTACTTTGAGGCCAAAATAACTTTTTAAATCGAAGTTTTGCGACGCGCAGCGCGCGGATTATCTTTCTCGGTTTATCGTTTCCTTCGCCGCAGCGGCGAGACGATGTCGGCGCTGTACGGAATATCGATAACGAAGGCGCGCGTAATCAGCGGACGAGTCGAAGCCAACGGTTACCCATGCACCTGTTGCACCGCTAGCTACGCGAAGAGGAAATGAAACTGTCGACGGACAGGATTGTACCGCGACAGTGCCTGAAAAATTGATCTTTCGTTCGCGTACGTGACGAGTATGCCATCGTGGTTCTCGCGGAGGAATCGCGACACCGAGCGTAAACTTTCGGTGCATTGTCCGAAACTTGACGAAAAAGATAAGAATCTTGCGCGAATACTTATTATATTTTGGTAGGAGAAAAATTGCTCGTGTGAAAGATTTTAATTTATATACTTTTCAATTATTTTTTTCGTGTATTGTATTGATAACATGATTTCCGCAGATTATTTTCTCATAACTCGGATGTTCTCACAAGATAGATGTTTTTTTCCCGAAGACAGGAATATTAGAATCGTCGCGATGTCTTACCGTGCGTGTACAATTATCCGGTGAAATTAGTACCTGTTGCATGCGTGTGCATATCGCGAGAATTTGCGACAACGATCACGAGCGTGAGTGTGAAAAGTTTTGACAATATATAATATATCTCGATTGTTTGCAAAACGAGATGATAGAACGAGACGGTAGAATGTGGACTCAGAGCGGAGAAATTGTGTGCACCTGAGAAGAGTCGTGGGGAACACGGCAAACGCGGACGAGCGCTGCTGCGCGTCGAATCAGCTCCGAGTCTCTCGACGGTAGGAACGGAACGGCGCGGTTGTGCAGCACGGCACGGCGCAGGAACAACGCGGTGTGGCGCGGAACAGTGTGGCGGTGGTGGCACGGC